GGGTGAGGCGGGAGGGAGTGTCAGACTCTTACTGACTAAAAACCACCCCGTTCCTTCTCCTGCACGTCGAGCCGGAGCCCCGGTTACCCGTTAGGTTCTCCGCGACTTACATAACCAGTATAAGCTGAACGTTAAATGTGCTGAAAGATGATGCGACGCGACACCAGGATAAACTGGTTGTGTATAGATTGATGTGTGGCCGTATGTACCAAGTTCAAGTCTGGTGTGAAGTGGATGAGAAATTATGTGTTAGTTCTTATAATTAAAAAAAAACAATAATAACTCAAATCCAACTTGAAAGTTTATAAAAAATCTATCTACTCCGGCTCGACGTGCAGGAGAAGGAACGGGGTGGTTTTTAGTCAGTAAGAGTCTGACACTCCCTCCCGCCTCACTCGGGTGGGAGCAGTCATTCGATGATTTTCCCCCCTTAAAAAAAACTCCGACTCAATTACACTCGCTGATCAAAGTGTGTTATTATAAGCCATTCCTCAATTATTTGACTACTTTAAATAAGTATATAATAACACAAACATATTTTTTAAAGAAACGATAATTCACACGTAGGTTTACTTTTTATCCCCATAATGCGAGCGAGTGTCGTGGTGGCCCGGAGGGTTAAAACGCCCGCTTCTCATGCATGAGGGTGCGAAATCGAAACCTACCAACGGCAAGTACCAATGTGACTTTTACCGAGTTATATGTACTTTCTAAGATTATCTAGATAGATACCACTGACAAACGGTAAAGAAAAACATCGTGAGGAAACCTGGGCTTATAGTTTCTAATTATAAGTCAGTAATCGCCAACCCGCATTGAGCAAGCGTGTTGATTAATGCTCAAGCCTTCCGCGTGTGAGAAGAGGCTTTGCTCAGCAGTGGGCATTAAAGGCTGTTGATGTGAATGCGACCGAAGCCGCTGTCAAAGCTAGTATAGTTTATACTAATGTAATAAAGCTGAAGAGTCTGTTTATTTGTTTGTTTGGACGCGCTGTATGTAGTATAGACGAGTATGAAATAAATAATAAAAATATGTACGACTGCACGATTGGCGCGGTGGTTGGGCAACTGACTGCCGTGCAACGTGTCGCGGGTTCGTTTCCCGCACGGAACAACTCTTTGTGTGATTCACAGATTGTTGTTTCGGGTCTGGGTGTCATTGTGTATGTGAACTTGTATGTTTGTAAACGCACCCACGACACAAGAGAAAATCCTAGTATGGGGCAACGTTTTTTTTTATTAAAAAAATATCTTACTTCTTATGGTTCAGTTTGTGCAGAACCTGTGCAGCTCCCATGGTCATGGCCAGCGACAGGTCGGCGATGGTGAGGTGGTCGGCCGCGATGTACTTGTACCTCGACGCGTAGGCCTCCACCATGCCGTAGGCCTCCTCTAAGTCATTCAGGTGCTTCTGCGTAGGTGCTTTCATACCTTCCATTATAGTTGGCAGCTGAAAATATTACAAAATAATATTACTTCTCTCAAGTATCAGCAGGAGCATACTCTATGCTAAATTGTTCTAACGATATAACATATTTAAAAATTGACTACTTTCCTTAGTCAAAAATAAATTAGTTCGACTGTTGAATACAATAAAATATTAAAAAAAACCACACTCATTCATTGACTTTTTGACCAACATAATTTTAGTATTTATCTAGGATTTTTTTTTAGGAAAAACTGACATTTTTGACAGTTCGTAAAAAGTATTGAATTTGACTAGGTGACAACGGCAAATACCCAATTGGCGTGCTTAACTGTGTAAATGGCCCTAGAAGAAGTTTTCGAGTGAAATATGTGTATAAAATGGATATTCCATATATATATATATTCTTTCACGGCAAAACAACTGAATGAATTTGTGGTGACTAAACTAGTGATGGCGTGAGTCCCACGTAGGGCACAATTTCAGATGCATGCCAATAACCAAAGTCGGTTTTTATTTATTTACACAGTTGAATTTAAAGATTTTATTAATAATTGAATAGGAAATTTAACTAAAATTAATCAGCAACTGTACTTTAAAATCCAGACTAATACATACGTAACCTCACGTCTGTCTCCTATGGGGTAGGCAGAGACTAAGCAACGCCAATAGCTACGATCCTAACGTCCTCTTTCGGTTGTACTCCTTCTCATTAGTTGATACTTCTTTAAAAACATTATTTACAGTAACAACTTACAGCAATAACTTTGATCCTGACGAAGAGTATCCCGGTGTCGAAGAACATGACCTGGTTGACGACAGCTCGCGTGCGAATGTCGCTCGGGTACAGTCGCTCGCCGTGCTCACCGCCGTACTTTGATAGCAGGTAGATCATTATTGCGTGGCTGCAAATGATAATTAATTCTCTAATTATAATTATTTATTAGTATTCACGAGCATGCATAAAACTACTGATAACTGTTGATGAAGCGAAAAAGGTATGTAAGAATCGTAACAATTGGCGTTCCATATTCTCTGCCTACCCCTGTGGGAGACAGGAGATTATGTATGTATTATTGTAGGTACGAAGTTTGCTGGGTCAACTAGTCGGAAATATTTTCTTCAGTGCCTATTCTAGTGCCCTTAAGTGACACAAAGCATGAATAACTTAATTAGTTAATACGTCATAAAGTATGCCAAAAGATGGCGCCACACGTCAGTTTTTCGATATAATTATACTTCTGTTTGGTGCTATTCTTAGCTTATATAGTTTGTTTTACAACACTTATATAACGTTGAGCACTTAGAAACCAATTAAAATGTATAATTTACCTGTCAGACAGGATGAAGTCATCGTCTATCAACACCGGTATCGTCCCCAACGGGTTCAACTGCAATTATTCAAAAACAAGAAGAATTTATAAAAAGAAAATTTCTCATAATTACTTTAATAACATCCTAATTTGAAAAGGACTGTCCAACATTGGACAAATCTTTTGTTATTATGACAATGGAAAGTCAGGAAACTTTACTATTTATTAAACTGGCAAAATATTGGTGTTTATACATCTCAATTGGTGGCCCGGAGGTTTAAGAAGCCTGCTTCTCATTCACAAGAGTGCGGGTTCATAACCTACCAACGGCAAGTCCCAATGTGACTTTTTCCGAGTTATATGTATTTTCTAAGATTATTTAGTCACCACTGACTAACTACGGTAAAGGAAAACATCGTGAGGAAATCTGAGCTTATAATTTCTAATTATAAGTTTGAAATCGCCAACCCGCATCGAGCAGGCGTGGTGATTAATACTCAAACCTTCTCCGTGTGAGAAGAGGCTTTGCTCAGCAGTGGGCATTAATAGGCTGTTAATGATGAAATGATGATTGGCTCTATTGAACTGTTTGCATTGCGTTAAAAGTGGTTATTTATTACCTTCAAGTACTCGGGGGACTTGTGTTCCATCTTAGTAATATCTGGTTCCTTGTAGTCCAGTTTGAGTCCAATGATGTGAGCCACCATGCGCACGGCGCACGCGGGCGGACTCGCTGCCAACTTGTACAGGATCGGCGCCATATTGCACTGGAACATTTATATATCTTACTATTATAATAAATGCGACATTTTATTTGTTTATGTGTATATAATATGTTACTTAAAGGCATAGAAAAACATATTTACATTTCTTGATACATATTTAACAACAAACTTATTAATAATTCCATTTTTAAATCGAATTATTTACCAAAATATAAATGAAATTGAAAAGACTTACAAAACACAACCACAATCGGTAATCAATATGAAATAAATAGCGTGACAATTTTTATCAACAAATTACATAATGATAAATAATCTAATCAATAATCTTTAATCAATGATTAACCAGGGACACAAAGTTCACAGTTAATATGTTATTAATATATTTGTATCAAATATAGCAAGGGCGAGACCTCATTTTGTCCGTTGCGCTGCGTTGCGTCGCGTCGTCGCTACGGAACAGCGCATTGTATGTACGTCGGACGACGCGCGACATCGCAGCTAGCTACGTCTCAAATACAAGTGTGATGACTTGTCCGTCGACTCCCTCACGCTTTATCTCCTATCTGACGACGCAACGATAATGGGGCCTCACTTTAACAGTAATCTATTTATTAATCATTTATTATGCATTTGAATACGAAATGATATGAAACTTGTAGTTATTTCAGTTTTATGATTATATTTTGATTACTTCCTCTTATCGTTAGGACAAAGTCTATATTTCTGTCAAAGCCTATTTATTAATTCGAGTAAGTCTAATATGAATTTGATTTACTTAGATAATTATTGGCTACTTTCCATTTCGTCGTTTTTGATAATGTCCCTCTTATTAATAGATAATAATACGAGGAGATTATTAATAGATAATAATAAGAGGAGATTATTATTAGTCATCCTTATTATTATGAATTTATGAGAGATAGAGATGGTGCCTAAAATTATAACTCCCCAATCCCTGAATCTCCAACAATCCTCAAATTCCTAATCCCTTAACGGCCGGTAACACACTTGTAACGCCTCTGGTGTTCCGGGTATCCATGGGCACCGGTCTGCTCATTTACCAGGCGTATCCCATAAAAACTACGTATAGTGCATGTATACCTAAAATTAAATTTCAAAAATGTATCATCCATTGTTGACACATTTCGTTTACTGTCATGTCAAGTATGAAAAATGTTTTCTTACCCTTTTCTCCAATCAGGTTTGTCAAAATAACATTAAACTCTGTTTCATAAACAATAAATATTGATTTATTTCTTTTCTAGTTTCGACTTATTGTGCTCCCAGATTTTGTTGATGACTTTCGCAAAGAAAGCGACGCCGGGCGCCATGACAGTTTTGAATACTTGCTCCTCATGTAGGCGAGACATCCAGTCAGCGCAGCGGGGGAATCTGCAATTAATATTAATGTATTTTAAAATATTTTAGCTCGGTATTTGCAGATACTTTTTTATATTTGATGAGACGACGTTTGACCACTATCTCATATTTACATTCATTTATTTGCGTACCATAAAGTGAATAAGGTGTTACAATAGGCTTAAAGCTAAGTACATTTATGGACCCCGTAAGGGCACAGCAATATTTGTTAAGATAAAACTTTTTTTTAAATATTTATAACATAACTAGGTTTATACAATGCCATATAGATACATTTTATTGCAACATCTACTTACTTATCAGCATCCATTTTAATGAAGACCTGAGCGGTCGAGGCCGTTGCTCCGACGGCGAGGTCAGCTAAGGTCAGTCGGTCGGTGGCCACGTAGGGCCTGTCCTGCAGGTAGGCGTCTACCACGGAGTACGAGGTCTCTATTTCCTGTATGTGTTGGGCTGTTGGCTTGTATATACTGCCCGTGAACGTTGCTCGCTGGGGTGAAGAGATTTTTCGTTATTAGCATTAAACTAATGTAATTTTTGTTGTTATTATTTTTGCATAGCATTACGCCTTTAATCCCACAGGAGATAGGCAGAGGCACATTACGGCACTTAAAGCTACTGTACAATGTTTTAATATGTTATGAGTCCCATGTAATAGGGGTGAACACATTGCCATATCCCGGGCACAATTCCATACTCCATGCTACTACTGAGAATTTTAAAAAACCCCAGTACCCATTGCACGACCCAGAAATTGAATCCGAGACCCATTGCCCAGCAGTCGAACTTGCGACCACTCGGCCAACGAGGCAGTTTGTTGTTCTTTTTGCTGTTTGAATAAAGAGGGATGCAAATTATAGAAGGAGTCAGTTTCATTCTGTTATATTTAAAGTGCGCCTGAGTTTGGCTCCAAAGAATTGATTCCTGGACCTAGAGAACTATTAGAGTAGTTGGTAACATGGAGGCGGGTTGATGTCCAACGTAGGGCAACATGGACCCCCCCTCCCCCAATTAACACTTTCAACTGCTAAGTTTAAAATGGTAAAAGTGAAACCTCCACTAGCGTCACGCTGACGTGGCACACTAAGGGTTAAATGGTTGGGACTGACAGTATCCAGTATCCAGATCAGGGTGCTTACTCTTGAATCCAATCGACATTGGTATTGTGAAATTTCGTTGCAACGCTAGCGTCCCGTACTGCGTGTATAATTAATGATTTAAATGGTATTGAGTTTGGCTTCATATTCCGTACTCTGAATGCTATTTTAACAGCTACGAGGGGTTGTATAGTTTTGACATTGAATCATTATTGAGATTTTATTGGATTGAAATTGTATTTACATTGAGATTGGTGTCTAGAGTCAGCACGGTAGATCAACCAAAATACTTTCTGTTATGTAACTAATCTCGTCAACACATCTAAGACCTTCCTTAAATTATGTTAATGACACTCACCCCGACTGACATAAAAGCAGCGAAGAAGACTCCAGCGTTGAAGAACATGCACTGGTCCACTACAGCGCGCGTGCGCACGTCGCTCGGGTACAGCAGCTCACGCTTGTCGCCGCCGTACTTAGTTAGTAGGTACTTCATTATGGCGTGGCTGAGAACATACATATACATAATGTTATTATATTAGGCCAATTTAACGTCTATTGTATATGTTAACTCTCGTGAGACATATGTACTTATTCATACACTTACCATTAGGTGGGGCGTTTAGTTTTTTTTGACACCTTTGTGGTATAAAAACAGAACGTTTTTCGGCTTACTCAGCACAAGCTTAGGAGTAGCAGTGCAGCAGTCGCCGCGTCGTGCGTCGCGGAATGCTACTCATGAATATGAGCCTCTAGTATGGCTTGAAACTAGTCGAGTTCCTCATCAAACAGTAACAGTGAGTAAGCCGAAAAACATAATTATTAAAATAAAAAATGTATTAATAAGTACTTTCTAAAGTTTAGCACTTAGTAACACATTTAGCCGTCTATTTCTTTATCAGATCATGATATTATTATCTTTGATACGAGGTACTTTGCACAGGCTACAAAGTACATCGAACCACCTTTATTTAACCAGCAGTGGAAATGTTATCAAGCAATATATGTATGAAAGATGATAACCCAGAGAGGTAATCGAAGCAAGATAATGCTACCGTTGTGGTCTTATCATTTGAATATTATTAAAAAAAGATGAAGCGTGTCGTACAAGTGCCCCGGTACAGTTTATGGCTGAATTTACACCGCGCAAGGAAATACAAGCGACTTTTTGCGACGAAACTGTCATAGCATAGTGAACTTAATTTCAACTGTATGACATACACATTATATACCAGGACATTCTCAAGAATACGTGAGGACTCCACGGAAGACGCGACGTCCAATTTTGTGGCTCGCATTTACTATATGTGTTATGCATTGGACAATTTCGTTGTAAAAATTTTGCTTTTATTTCATTTCGCGGCGGTGTAAATTGAGCTTATGGGTCTCATGTACTACATCGAGCAAACAGAATTTGAAAAATAGAATATCCAAATATTTTGTCAGAGCCAGGAATCGAACCCGACCTCGACATATACCTACTACCTTTTTATACTTTATAGATAATACCTTTCAGAAACAATGAAGTCACCATCTTGGAGAACCGGCACTGTACCCATGGGATTTAACTGAAATAATTAAAATTCATTATTCAATCATTAGGTGTACTAATCACAATTAAATAAAACACTCTTCAACTCGTTTTCGCCATCTGTGTGTCTCTGTATGCTTAGATCTTTAAAATTATGTTACAGATTTTGTTGGAGTTTTTTAATAGATAAACTGATTTAAGAAGGTTTACTTATTTAGTAAAATAGGCGTGCAAAGCCGCAGGTGGAAAGCCAATTAAATTAATAAAGCAACTTTACAATAAAAGTACTACCTACCTACCTACTCGTTGAGTACCGTCATTAAAGACACAATTAAAGAACAATAGGTTGCGGTCACCGGTGACCGCTTGGTATTTGACAGTTTAAACTGTGTCTATTATGACGGTACTTGACGAGTTAATGGTCGTATTCATTAAATTATCGAATAAGTATCTAGCCCACTTTACTAACCTTTTTGAACTCAGGGGACTTGTGTTCTAGTTGCAAGAATTTTACGTCGTTATATTCCATTTGCAGACCTAGCATGTCGCTGAGCATCATCACGGCCCGCGCTGGAGGGCTGCCGGGAGCCCGGTGGAGGAGCAGACGAGACACCGACATGGCTCTAATTCAGCTTCAACTTTAACACTGAAATGATGTAATAAAATGTGTATTAAAAACTTGTTTGAATAAGTTAGTGACGTATACCTATATCTACCAACTAATTCTGATAATACGGTAATAAGTCTATGTAAATAAGAACCTTTGTACCCATTCAGAGGAAGACTGTCGGCTTTTTTAGTTACATTAGTTATGTAATTCGCATTTCAATGAGATGTATAAACAACAACAATAATGCACCTATTGTATTCAGTCTGTATACCTACTAAGAAGACAATAAATCGGTAGGTACTTGAATGCATTATTTACCTACCTAAGTAGATCTGTAGTACTTACTTATACAAAATAAATAAAATATATCATTTTAACATACCTAAGTCGTTACACTGTGTACCTACTTACTTTGCAATCGTTAAAAAGTTGAAAACAGAACAAAAGGTTTTTATCTAGGTATGTAACTAGGTACCAAAGTATGGTTAGGTTATCTAACTTATTTACCTATTACATTGTCGATAATAATATAGGCGCTACCAACATCATAACGCGAAACCTATAAATAACCTGCCCTAATGTTTATTTATAACATACATAACCTTACTTTCTAAACATCTACGCATGCGCTCAAAAATAAAACAAAACAACTTACATTAATAGCACAGTTCCACGACACTCCACTGTTCACTTTCACGATAAAAAACACAATGAAACGATTAAATAATGTTTCTGATAAAACAGATAAACATGACAGCATGATTATAACCTAAAAATGAAAAAGAAAAAGCACGTGGTGACCTTGATCTTTGTTACGCACGATACCGGTTGCGCATTGCCGCATTGCACACGCGGTTTTAAAACTGCGAAAACAAAACTACTTTTGATATTTACTTACGTAATAAGTACAACGAATTACTACAACTTTAATTGATAACTAGTCAGTTTATGTACCTACCTAGGTATATACTTATTAATGAAGTTAGGTAGGTAGGTGCAATATCTAAGTATTATCTTATACTAGCTTTTACCCACGGGTATGCCCGCGTATTCCTGTTTTATCCCAATGAAGCAATAAGCAAAAGTATCCTATCTCCTAAGTCAGCCCATACCTTGCGTGTACCTTGTAAAAATTTCATCAACATCCGTTCACTAGTTTCAGCGTGATTGAAGGACAAACATCGAAACAAATAAACTTTCACATTTATAATATTAGTGTGATTTCCATAAAATACACTGGTTTACACAGACAGACGCAGCTCAGTTTTAATTACCTATCTACTTACATCGTCGGGTAAAACCTCACCTAGTTACCTACCTAGTAGTAAGTACCTATAAAAATATAGTAACTGTGTTAGTTATCAATTAAACGTAAAAAAGGTCAGTAACATGCATAAACAAAGAAACTTTTTAACTTGAATTACCTGCTATATTATTCAGACCACAATTTATTAATTTTATAAGTAGGTACACTAATATTAAATATGAGATATCATCATCATTATTATTTCAACTGTTGTTAGATAGAGTCATTACCTACACTTAAGTATATTAAATGCATTGAAACTATAACTTATTCTTACTTAAATAAAAGAAATACAATAGATATCACTGTCCGTTTAAAAAATACTATTCAATTTCATTGTTTTTAGATTCTGTTTTCGTATGTCAGGAGTCATTTGCAGGCAGACATTCATTGGCTAGCTTAATTATTTTACGGACATCTTCTTCTGACAACCGCTCTTCACTTTCTTGGGCAATCTGTAAAAAAACACCCAATTTAGTTCACTGGAGTTCATTAAATGCACGTTGCGAGTTGTTTGTTCGACATGGAGGTTTAATGGGCGACCTTTGTTCTGCTGTGGATGTCTTCTGGCTGATGATAATGGTGATGATGAATGAATAAATAAATATAGATGAGTCTTAGTATATGAACTCGTAAGCAGTTAAGTCCAAACAGAGGTCTAGGTTTAATAAATATGTAGTATTGTAGTTTTTGTTATTGGAATTGCCCTAAACGGACACGTTATTAACGAGATTAGCGATATAATAAAGACAAATTAAAAGCACCCTTAACTAATGAGAATGCATGAAAACGCTGATGACTGTCGATGAAGTGAAAGAGGTATGTACAAGTTACAGCAATGGTGTTCCATAGTCTCTAACTCCACCCATGGAAGACAGGCGTGAGATTATGTATGTATGTATGTAATTGACCATTGTAGTATGGAATTTGCAAATAATGATAAGTCTGTAATATGTAAGTACCAAAGCTTACCATTCATGGCTTTGTAGATAATTACGTTGAAAAAAGGTTTTTATAAAAAAATACATTGTATGATATGCGTACAATAAAGTTTAATTAAAGTTAAAGACACTGAAGAGTGCATACAGAGTTACAGATAGAGGAAACAATAAGGAATTTCTTTACTACATGCTGTCTATCTCTATTTATGCCAAGATCTTTAAAATTATGCAATGGAATTTGATGTAGTTATTAACTCGTCGAGTACCGGTTTTGTAGACACAATTATAGAACAATAGGTTGTGGTCACCGGTGACCGCTTGGTGTTTGTTAGTTTAAATAGATAGAGTGATTCAAGAGAAAGACTTACATGTATTTATCATACACCATGGAGAGCTACTTTTTAAAGGTCACATTTATTTCATGGCATTAGATTGTAAGTTTCCTTGGAAAGTAAAATGCAATGGTATGTAACTAATTAACTATGTATGTGCTTACCAGTTGAATCTCCAGTTCTGTTCTGGGAGGAGTGTTGACCATCATAAGTTTCTCAGTCTTTGTTAACTTTAAGTTCTTCAAACCATCTAGAAACTTCTTTATAGAAGCTGGATTTTGCTTTTTACAGTCTGTATCTTGTAGGTAATGTACGGTCTGAAATGTTAAATAAATAATTTCTTTCAAATCATATAAAATTCTTTTTAATGCCTTAATTGACTCAATTACCACATGGGCATAAAGATTGCTTTGAAATTACTAAGTTTTTAGCTCAGGTAATGTGACGATCACTTTTAATTTAATCACTTGATGTATCGTATCGAAAATCCCCAAAATTTGTTCATACAAAAGTAGTCTCTAAATATCGGAAATCAGGTCTATAATGGAGTGAGCTGCGAGCAATCACCAGTGACTGCTTGGGGATTGATCAGTTAAGCTAAACTAGAATCATATACTAATATATAAAACTAAAGAGTATATTGGTTTCAATGCAATCCAAAGTACTGGTAAAAATGAAATAATATTTTTTTGACAGATAGTTTATTCATAACCTAACCTAAACCTACAATAAATAGGAGCCAAGCAGCGGGTGAAAGCGCGCAGGAGTATCTAGCATATAATATCATTAAAAATAATTAGAAAAAATGACATATCATCCACATTTAGGAAGCATGAGACTCCTCTACCTCTAACACAAAGTTTATATTGATAGGTATATAGTAAATGAATAGAAAATTATTGGTAAAAAACATTGAAAAACTCACCTCATAGGTGACTGTAGCAAGTGATCCTTCACGTTTGTGTTTTTTCTGTGTGCTGTCTTTGAGCTGTTGCAAGATCTGCATTACTTCATAGTTACAAAGGAAAGCAGCATTCACTTTTGTCCTGTACATTCATAGGATTGTTAACATTACATTTCATGATAAGGTACTATATCATATTTTGCTTATTTTATTGTGTTTCCAAATATGCCTAATGAAAGTACTTATCTATTGTTTGACAATGATTTCTTACTCTATAATTAAAAAATAAACTTCATTATATTAATATTAAACTTAGGATTTGCCTACAAATGCCTATAGTTATTTCTATTCAACTTAAAACAATATGTGTGTACAGGAGGACTTTAATGCCTTGAGTATTGTCTCCTAATCAACTTAAGTGGTGCAGGAGTAAAGAGATGTAAGTAGCAGATGTAAAGTAACCTTTATAAATAGGCAATGTACTAGTTTATATTCTGTCAGCAAAGTCTTTTGTTGTTTGTTATACAAGATGTTAACCTGCTGATAGAGATTGTTATTATTATATTTGTAAATATAACCATTAATAGGTTTTCACGTAATATATTTTAAAATTATAAGTATATAGAAAATATACATACGTTTCCATGTCGACGAAATTGATTAATAAATAATTTCAACTTCCGATATAATAGTCATTCAGAATGCAATACGTATATGCGGAGTGAATATAGTATTGAGTAAATCTAAAAACTCTAATTATTCAAATTCAAAATAATCACACAAGTGACATGCGAACTGGCAAATAAACAATCACCAGGCGACAGCCAGGTATTCTCTATTGACACTGACAGTTGATATTGACAGCTGAAAATCTGAATTCGTTTTTGTCTTTGATATGTGTTACTGAAGCCTTTTTTGATTGGAAAGGCTTGCAGCCATTGATCTGATAATATAGACGAGAAATAATTGTGTACGGATTTTTATTTTCAGGCTGCCTACGATTGATGCTATTAATCAATTAGTTTAGAGTGTCAAGTAGGTAGTAGTTTGTAGGTGTTTCCTATCTATATAATTATATATCTATGACCCGACTTCATAGAACATTGGACAATACCAGTATTATAAATAAAAGGTTTAGTTCTTAAGTTCTAATAATTATTTTATTTTTAAGCACTAATAACTATCCACCTATTTGTTATCGTTTCATGTGTATGCATGGCTTGCTAGTTTTAGGTGAGAGATTCCACGGCCAACTCATTGATAGCTTTTATAATATAACATATCCTACACACAGTTTGATCTATATTATAAAACTAACATTTTTGATAATGTATTTCAAAATATTAAATTCTGTATTTACCCATAGAAACAAAGTATTATCTAAAGTGTTTTTTAAGTCCCATGCAGTGCGAAACTTCAGCCAAGAAAACTTTTCCACGGGTTTAACAACGACCGACAGACCTTTAAATGCATATATGTTTCATTACACAAATCTAAAATTACCACAAAATAAAATATTTGCCACATATGTATGGATTGATGGCAGTGGTATCCATATGCGTTGTAAAGATCGTGTTTTAGATAAAGTCCCTTGTAATTTAAATATGGTGCCGAAATGGGCCTTTGATGGAAGTTCAACTGGACAGGCAAGAACTGAAGATTCAGATACCATTTTATTACCAGTCGCCTTATATAAAGATCCAATTAGAAAAAGTCCACACGTCATTGTTTTATGTGAAACGTACTATGGTGATGGCACTCCTACTCCTACAAACCATAGAGCTCACTGTGCAAATATATTGAGCAAACTTTCAGATCAGGAGCCATGGTTTGGAATAGAACAAGAATATACTATGTTTGATGTAGATTTATGGCCCTTGGGTTGGCCAAAAGTACGTGGATTTCCCGTAATAAAATCTAAATATTCTTACTGTGGAATGGGTGAACACATCGCTGGAAGAGAATTGGCTGAATGTCACGCTAGAGCATGCATTTATGCAGGAATGGACTATGGTGGGTCTAATGCAGAAGTTATGAAAGGGTCCTGGGAATACCAAGTGGGGACAACGGTCGGGATTAAAGCGGCAGATGACTTATGGCTAGGACGGTACTTGTTGGGGAGGTTAGCTGAAAACTTTGGAATAATAATTAGTTACCATCCTAAGCCTGTGGGTAAGAATCAGCCAGGAATTGGCTGTCATCATAACTTTAGCACTAAGAAAATGCGTGATGAAGGAGGTATTACAGAAATTGAAAGAGTTTGTAAAGTGTTGTGTGCTAAGCATGGTGATTACATGAAACATTATGGTCTCGGAGACGGTCAAGATAATCGAAAAAGATTGACTGGAAAATTTGAAACTGCTTCTTTTGATGTATGTAAGTGGGCCATTGCTGATCGGACTGCTTCGATTAGGTTGCAAAGAAGTGTGAAGACTAAAAAGAAAGGTTTTCTAGAAGATCGCCGGCCTGCAGGAGACTGTGATCCATACAGAGTCTGCGCTCTTCTCGCAGAAACATGTGTTTGAGCCAAAATTATGTACATTTCATATTTCAGCATTAATTATTAAATTTTGGTATCCCCACCACCCGCCAACGTCGATATAATAACTAAAAATCTGTAAATTATTTGCGAGGTTATACCGAGTAGCAGCATCATATCAGTGAGTAGCAGACATACGGTCACGTTTAAATCACAAATATTAACAATATTGTTCCTACAATTCAAGGCGGTATAATACTATTTTACAATAGTGTTAAAAACTTCTTGCGAAACGTGCGAAATGTTCATGACTTTGCAAATACCGTGTTTAAAGGTTCGGCTATAAAAATAGAATAATTACTGGCACGTTAAAATTGACTGATTCAAAATTCAAATTTTTTTAAATACACTTTTAGAATCTTTTTAATTTGTCTGAAGAAGCAAAAGCAAAAACAAGAGCAAACAACTAAGTTCGAAAATTGCTCATTTTCAAAAATATCTAAATTTTAGTAATTGTCTTTATAAATTATTATAATTTAAAATAAAATTATAAATAAATTGCAAGTAACAGAATGGAATCTGTACTCAGGAAGTGCCTTCCAATTATCGGAAAAGGCTTTCCATACAGACATACTTTGCCAATCATTATAAGAAGCTTAGGATCCCATAATGTTAACCACATCATGAACAAAAAGGTATTGGATCGGTATTTGAGACTCCCTTTGCCGTGTAATAAAATATTAGCTACCTACGTTTGGATTGATGGTTCTGGCATAAATATGAGGTGCAAAGATCGTATCCTGGATTGTGTTCCATACAGCCCAGATGCAGCACCAAATTGGGCATTTGATGGCAGTTCGACGGGGCAGGCTACTACGGATAATTCTGATACGACACTGAAACCAGCTGCAGTATATAGGGATCCATTCCGAGCCGATCCCCACGTTATAATTTTATGTGAAGTACTTCTCGGCGAGGCCCAAAAACCAGCAGCGACAAATCACAGGACTTATTGTAATGACTTATGTGAAGCACATAAAGCTGAGGAACCATGGTTCGGGCTGGAGCAGGAGTATACTATGGTGGACATTGATGGATGGGGCCTGGGCTGGCCCAAAGGAGGCGGTTTTCCAGCGGTAAAATATCAGTACTCGTATTGTGGTGTTGGAGCGAAATATATAGCAGGTCGAGATCTGTCTGAAGCCCATAGTAAAGCGTCTCTATTCGCTGGCTGTGATTACGAAGGATCGAACGGAGAAGTTATGTATGCCTGTTGGGAGTGGCAAGTTGGTACAACAATGGGTATCAAAGCTCCAGATGATATGTGGATGACACGGTTTATAATGTCTCGCATCGGAGAGGATTACGGGATAGATGTTACATATCATCCAAAACCTTTCGGTCACCTGCATCCAGGTATTGGTATGCATCATAACTTCAGCACAAAGAAAATGAGGACTGCTCCCGGTGGATACGCTTTTATTGAAGAATGCATCAAGAAATTGGAAAAGAACCATATGAAACATATGAGAGGATACGGAAATGATGAGACAACCAACAGAATGCGATTGTCCGGAAGATTTGAAACGGCACCATTTGATAAATTCTCCTGGGGTGTCGCTAACAGAAAAGCATCTATCCGTCTACAGAGACACATTAAAAAGAAAGATAAAGGTTTCATGGAGGACAGGAGACCCGGTGGTGATGCTGACCCGTACCTTGTGTGTGGACTGCTAATGGAAACTTGTTTGGGTGGAGCTGGTGGCGGCGGCGGCGGTTGTAAAAATCCGTGTCGAAAATGAACCTTCACACGTAGGTAGTATAATTTGGATTAGTTTTAGCGTTTTGATAATTTATTGTATAGAAATTTCTAGTAAATATTGAGAGATCAATAAATTGACTTTTATTTACTTCATAAATAGCAAAGTCGAAAAAAATGTGGACGCATTAGCACATACGAAATATGGCGTATTTCATAACGCTAATATAAATAGCTGAAAGCGCGACGGCCGAGCGTAGCCGCCGCGTATTATCTTTGGTGCACCGCTCGCTGCCTGCCACAAAGCCGCTGTGTTTTCCGAGAACCAGTCCATTTGATTTTACGCATAACATCCTGCCGCTCGAGGCAGAGGCCTTTGCCTTTTTTTAAGGGGGGAAAATCATCGAATGACTGCTCCCGCCTGGGTGAGGCTGGTGGGAGTGTCAGACTCTTACTGGCTAAAAACTACACCGTTCCTTCTCCTGCATGCCGAGCCGGAGCCCCGGTTACCCGTTAGGTTCTCCGCGAGGCTTTCCACGTACATTAACGAAATATTTCAATTCATTTTTCACTTCTGTGAACCGCCAGTTGGAATATATAATGCTGAGTATAGAAATGTATTAATATTTACAGTTAGTAGAGTATCTAAAATTAATGAATCGCGTTTTTATATTTTAAAATAGCAATAGCAAATAATGGCTGTCATAGGGTTTGGTCCATCTATGCTAGCGCCATCTGGATGTAACTTTCACCGGCCAACCCCCTATTAAGTTGATATAGTATTATCGTCCTTTTACTGTGAATTCCGTAGTATAGAATAGAATTGTTAAAGGTATTCCATAAATGGCTCCTTATTAGATCGTGTGCTAACACCATCTGGACCTCACGTTACATTGGCGCTGTCTGGTGAGGTCGAAAAAAAAGGTAACCCTCATTGGTTACTCTAAAAAGGTAGATTTGAATTTATGCAGTAATACACTCGACATTATGAACGTATTTTAGTAATATATACATTGAATAAATATAGGTAACCTTGTTTTATTGCTTAAACTGTTTTTCTTTATTTTTTAAATGCTTAAAGTTTGCTTTATTAGAATATCAGTAATACTAATGTCTCTGGTTTAAAAATAGAGGATCGAAAACCATAGACAAAAATTTAAAAAGAAAACTGTTCCGCCATTTTCATTCTCTTCTCTATTCCTTTTCGTCATATGGCGTATTAGGTGCGTTCGCTTACGTCCGCCATATTAAATGAAATCAATAAAATAAGACAAAATGTCGCCTTACTAAAGTGCGTGAAAATATCCACCAACATCCAGTTATTGTGTGATTAAATCATCAAGAGGATCACAATGGAGAATTCCTACGGTGTGGGAGTTGTGAACAGATACGCTCTTTTCTTGGACGATGAGTCCGATCCTCTTGATGCGTTAAAAGCGCGAGAGCAGGCGAAGGAGCTCAAAAAGAAAACCAAAGAAGCCGAAAAAGAGAACAAGGGCAAACCTGAAATCAAACCTAAAGGTGGCGCTCCCGCTTCCAGGAAAGGTATCAAGGAAACCCAGAATGTAAAGTCTCAAGAAAATAGGAGTGGTGAGCAACAGAAGGCCAAGGGTCCTGCCAGGCCTAATGAACGCAACACTGAGCGTCCTCCTCCGCGTCGCCGCGAGGATCGGCCGCAGAACGGTGCCGTCGAGAACAAGGATGGAGCTCCGCGACCACCTCGGCGTGAGTTTGGTGATCGTAGGCCCAACTATGAGCGACGTAACTTCAGCGACAATCCTGATGGAGCCGAACGCCGCGGGCCTAGACCGCCTCGTGAGCCTCGTGAAGCTCGTGACGGACCGCGCGGGCCGCGTCCGTACGACAATAGAGGAAAGCGTGAGTTTGACAGGAGATCCGGCTCTGACAAGACCGGCGTGAAGCCAGTAGACAAGCGCGAGGGCGCCGGCCCTCACAATTGGGGTACAATCAAGGACGACATAGACGAACTCAACAAAACCGGTTCTGAAGGAGAGGTTGTTGAGGAGAAGGCGGCTGACGCAGCTGGCGCTGGTGATGGACAGCAACCCGAGGCCGAGCGCGCTGCTGCTCCTACAGAGGAAGAGCCCCGCGAACTCACACTTGACGAGTACAAGGCACTCCGAAATGCCCAACGCACGCAGCCGCAATATAACCTGCGTAAGGCCGGGGAAGGCGAAGACCTCAGCCAGTGGAAGAACTTGGTGATGCTCGAGAAGAAGAAAGAAGGCGAAAGAGGTGAGGATGATGATAGCGATGACGAATATGATATGGCCGATTATCCGCAGCGCGTGGGTCGTCAGAAGCGTGTGCTCGGCATTGAGTTCACGTTCAACGACACAGCGCGGCGCGGCGGCACTGGAGGTCGTGGTCGTGGGCGCGGGCGCGGTAGAGGCCGAGGCCCGCCACGCGAGCCCGAGCCGATGGAGGAGCGCCCGCCATTGCGCGCGCAGGTCGCACCACCTAAAGTTGATGACAGCAAGGATTTTCCCTCTCTTGGCTAGACTCACAGTGAGCCTTCGTTCTTCTCCCTTTCGATAGAGTTACAAATTAACATATTGTATGTACCGTTATTTTTGAAGTAAATATACAAAATATTTACACAAGCGTGTATTATATTACATTATAAAATGTAGTTGATTTCTTCGGAAAACACCTTTCAATTTACTATTGACCATCGGGTTACATTGACAAAGGTTATAGGGAGTTGACTAGTCTTGCTCGCCAATCACGTAGGATTAGAGGGGGAGGATTATTTTTAAGAGTTTTTAATTTTGGATTCACATAGCTACAATATGCATACAAAACTATAATAACAGTAGCTTTTACGATATTGTAATCACATCAGCTTATGATTTAACTGAGTTTTATGGAATAAGGATTTTAAACTTACTGACTGTGACAAGCTATGAACTAACTCCGTCACAATTTAGAGTAGATCATGCAAAGTAACCCATGTTGCATTTTTATGTGAGTTTGTGTTGAAAAAAATGCAGACTTTGGGAACTGTAAATAGTTGATATATGTTAAAAGATAAGTTCTTAAAAATAACAAGGTTGATTTTTGTTGTTACACAACTTCAGAAAAAATAAACATTTTGTATGTGTGATATTCTTCTTAATTTTTTCCTATTTTCTCAATTCCTCCCCCAGCCTCTGGCTAGTGAATAAAATCCTAAATTAAATAATTTGTGCCGATTTGACACTTGTGTAACTTATCAGGGGTAAAATAAAAGCATTAGAACTGAAGTTATCTTGTATATTGACACATTTTATCACTTTCACACAAAAACAATTTACTTAAAATTTAAGATAATAAAAACAATACACATTTTGAGTTAAATATTCAACATAATAGAATTATTACTTACAAAAATAAACATCAATGACACATAAGTGTTGGTTGATAAGCACAATAAATAAGATATTTACATTCTCGAGGCAAAATACTGTCCTATATCTGAATGTTGAGAGGAGCAACAACTATTTATTATGAACCACAGCATGACCATTTATATTTACTATACAACTGATTAAATTAAAAATAATATAACAAAGGAACATAAATTATTTACTGAACTCGCAATTTGTTTAATCATGATTTAATATAGGTAATGAAGTTTTTATAGTAGAATATTGTCCATCTGGTGTTAGAGAACTGAAGAGCTAAGTTCACACAGCAGTGACTGTCAAAATTATACAAGTGTTTGATATTTTCCAAACAAAATTATGATAATAATGTAGCTGACTAGTGTTTGCTTGTATTTGAAGATAAAGAACTTAATTATTTAATACTTTTGAATTACTCATGTTAATAGAACTTGTGAATTATGAAACGATTATTTTAATTCAATTATTAATTTACATAATATTCGTTTTCACAATTTAAAATTGATGTTCTTATCGAAGGTGATATAGGTTACAATTATAACATAAATTAGTGACGTAAAAGCGTAATTACTAAACACAGGACTTAAGTCCCGTTTCACAGCCACAATATACGTTCACTTATAACAAAAGCGATAATAAAGTACAAACCTCGTAGGTCACGTGGCCCGTTACAATAATAATAATAATAAATACCTAGGCACATCTACATGTTTCTTTATTAATTAAACTGCTAAAATATTTCTATCTTTGTTTGCCTGTTATACTATAAATTGACTATTATTTACATTGACAACAATACTTGTAATTAGTCACAATTATTTACAGCGTCTAATATACGTTTTCTTAATACTCCATACATAGGTACTCTCAATCTCTCTGTGGTTGAATAAACTTCTTGACAGTCATGATTTATGTTAATGACTCGTTATGATTACTAGTCTTACATATTTATTACAACTTTACTAAGCGGGAAATAAAAAAACGTGGTTATGTAGTACTTTATCACGAATATCGTACTAGGCCAGATAAGATTTTTTACCACAAGAATGGCAATGGCGCGGCCGTAATAACTCGTGGGTTCGAGTCCTAGTATTCAGAGTAATATGAAGCTTTCGCTACTTGAGCTTTGTTTAATGTTCACCGTACTACATCGTCACATGTAGAGTACGAAAAGCGTTTTGATCAAAGTTCACGATGGCGCAAGATTCACTCGATGCCGAAGGTGTTGGTTTCTTCGACAGCCAGCAGCAGTTTCTCGTGCAGCAGGTGCGGCGTGGGGTAGGGCGGCAGGTCGAGGCGGTTGAAGCACGTGTGAGCGCGGGGCAGGGACTCCACGCGGCCCCAGCGCTCGATACAGAAGCGGCGCGGGCCCGTGGAGCCGCGCAGTGCGGAGAAGCCCTCGTACGGGATTGAAGACGTGCCCGTCACGAACTGCACCAATCGCAGTCGTTGCTCGTTTGTGAACCTGTTGAAAATGCACGGTTTTAGTAAAGAAAAAAATAAAAGTATATTACAAGCTGGTGTTAGTAACAGACTGCATCATTGTCCTACCTCATAGGACAAAGATGAGAGTGAGAGTTCATGTATGGATGTTTATTATAGCGATTTATATTTTGATAGGGGTCAGATGAATTATTAATAATTCCTTAGGCCCATTGTTATCTAATTTAATAAGGGCAGTAGGTAAATACTAAGGAAGTATTTTATCGTTTTGAATAACAAGTATATTTTTTATTATATTTTACTACCAGCACCTCAATTTTTGGTAGCTATATTAAGAAAATACTTCACTTGTGTAGTTTGTAATCGTCTGTCTGGTAATTTTAATGACTTCAGGGTAATAAAGTTTAACATTGTAATGAACGATGGAATATTTACCTGTCAATGGCCTGCCAGAACCAGATGATGACAGGGTGTGCGTCGTGGTAGCCCCCTCTATACTCAGTGTTGTTCCTCCAGTCCGCCACGTCCAGCTCGGGCGCGCCCGCGATCACCAGTTCCAGTTCCCGCGCGTCAAACGCCGCCACTAACCGCGGGTCCACAACCTGTACACAATAATAATAATAAATTTTAATACAATACATACGTTATTATATAATTCATAAATAGTAAAATACGTAAATTCGCCTTTGTGAAGACAGAACCTATGCCTCCCACTACGAATCTTACGTTCTTACTTGGTTTAACTGGCTCGCTGGTCAAGGTACTCTGCACTAAGCTTTTTCAGCATTTGTTCAGTGAGATTCATTGGTAATAAAAGTAAGTCATAAATAATTTTATTTAATAGTGTAATAACTGATGCATGTGGATTGATATAAAATATTTTACGTACTACCTAATAGGACCAGTGGAGTAAATAATAGTGAGTTGGTTCTATACGACGTGTTTGGTTTGTGTTCGATAGATGGCATCTTGTACTTGTCTTCGGAAACGAATTTTAAACCAACAAAGGAAACTAACTATCTAGACTAGACGACTTAGTGGCATTTATTAATGTAGTTCTGTTCTTCAGGCCGGTTAGACTCCCGGCTTTGGAGAAGTATCATAGATCTTTATAAATTCACAGTAATTGTGCAGTCCGAATTCGTGTCTGGACTCTATAATAGGTACTATAGGACTCAAAAGCCCATAACGAAAAAGTAGGTGTTATTATGGTCAGATAAAACCTTTGCCTTGACTTCTAACACTGACACTTTTAATGTTAACGTGTATGTAGGTAAACAACTTAAGGTCACTGGTGAAAGCTGACCAACGTTAGCAGCGGACAGTTTATGTCGGCAGTTGAATCTAACCGAGGGAGTGTATGAGTAGTTTTAGTAAATGTAAGGAAGCTGACCTCGTGGAAGCCGCGGACGAGCCACTCTGTCTGCTCGGCGACGCCGCGCTCGACGCGCCAGCGCACGACGCGCTCGAGGTACTCCTTCTTGTTGCGCTCGGTGACGGCCAGCTCGCGCCCGCCCGGCTTCAGCTCGCGCTCCAGCACGCGGCCGTCCGCCAGACGCTCCGACACGGCGAACGTTAGCTCCAGGGACGACACGCATCGCGCTGACTGGAATAAGTACATAACTTTATTATTCATTGAACACGAAACATTATTCAGATATCTCTAGGTTATATCATTTAGGTAAACATTTAGACATTATAATGTAGATATTCTTAAGGCAAACTAGGCTCATCACTACTCTCTATCGGCTTCTGAGAATGTACTCGAGATAAGTATGGGATTAAAATAAATATCGAGAGAGCCCTGTATCAAATAAGATTTAATGAAACCTTTAAACAATGACTGATCAGTGATATGATATGTAGTTCTAAATGTGATCTAACCTGTAACCAGCGCAATGAGGCAGCGAACTGCGCGTCGAGAGCGTCTACATCTTCCAGCGCGGGCGGGAGACGCAGTAGCGCTCGGTACAGCGCGCGCGTGAACCACGCCTCCAGTAGGTAGCCGTGCACGAGGGCCAGGCCTAGCACGCGTCCAGAGAAACGGAACCTGGCAACAAAGAAAACATATTACTTTAATTAATGTAATGCATAACTAGTCTACTATAACTGGACTAGTATGTAGGTAGGTACTATGTCGTGCCTGTTTTCGACATGACATGTATGTGTGGAAAGAACTAGGTAGATATGAGGTAGTTAGAAGTTTCTTCTGTCAGCTCTTTCTTATACTACTTAGTATCTCCTAGATACCTCACGGTTATGTCGTACCTACTGCCAGTAACGACGGTGTCATTTTCTTTAATTTACTCGGTCGGTATTGGAACTCGTTTTTTTTAGGTAGGTATCCTGAGACTGGGCACGCATATAGTTCAGAAATCTATTTATAGGTACCTAAATAAAGAAACCAATATCTTTCTATCTATCCAATGTCAAATTATAAAAAATGTAATGACGTTTATTCATTTTAGTCAGCTTTCTGATTTGAGATCCGTGCCCAAAACGAGTTCAAAATGACATGTGACCTAAATAATACATTTGTTTCATGTAGGAAGTTTTCAAAGTTCGCCTGACCAACCAGAACACAATCAACGGTGCGTAGAAAACGTTACACATCAGTTAAATCGTAACTTGATATTTATTATTAAAATAGTTTAATGCACAAAAACTTCTAAAGTGATTGTATATCTGTTTGTTTGTAACCAAATACATGATGTTTGTTGAAATCTGAGACGTGGACGGTTCGGGTGCGCTTGCGCCGAAACGTTGAGTAAAAATAAACACAGAGGGCGCGCGCGGCGGTGTAAAAATAAATCATATTAACGGAAATATCAGTTGTGCTGTGGAAGGGATGCAATGTATATGTTACTTGCAGGAAGATTGTCGTAAGCAGCGAATGAGGGCAAACATCGTTAAACCTGGGTTGTAATATATTAAAAGAGATTTTGAGACTCTTTTAATATATGAAACCTTTCAACATAGGTGTACATGTCATCAATGCTTTATAAAGTATACCTACAGTTATATAATAACTAGTGACTATTTAAAGAAGATTTTTTAACATTGAAAAATAAAAACTAATAAATAGCAAATGATTGCAATAATTATTATAACTTTTTAACGAAGCACAATTATTTTAATGCAAAATTTTGTTTGAATCTTTAAGATTTCATCACAACATTTTCCCACGAATAAGGCATTAAATACAAATTGTGTATGATAAAATTCAAACAATTGTAATTTACTTGGTACCTACATATTTATACAAAATGATTTTATTATGTAAAATATA